TATTTATTCTAAACATGTATTCCAAACTCTTTAAGTCAAGCTTTGTAAAAGTATTAACTTAGATATGTTAAATTAGTACACCTAAAATTTCAATTTTTTTTTAAATTCTATATAAGAGACATTATTAACAAAATAAAGTAATGAAATGCCTTGTTCCCTTGGTTAAAGAAATGGCGCTTAAAGAATAGTGGACTAGATTATTGATGAGAGGAAGAAGGACTGGAACACAAGGATATGTGATCAATTGTAATAACTCACTTAAAAGGGCTTCCATTATTCTCTTAATAACTATTGGAAGAATAAAAGTTAATTTTTGTCTATTGTTTATTCATACAGAAATAATTTGTTTTCTTTCTTAAGTTCTCCTATATAGAAGATTCCATTCTAGAATTGATTGGAGTTAATGTTCATATTAAATCATAACAATACAAATTAAGTTTAATTGCTAAATAATTGAGGATTTAAGAATAATATTGATGTTGGTAATTTTTTATTTTTGTCAAGGAAGTGAATGTTTTGTAAATATGCGTTAGTGATATATCACCAGTAAGCAATGAAACTCCATTTTGGTAAATTTCACAAGAGAAAAATATAGTTAAGTATTTATATATGTTGAATGTTGAAATTTCATTAAATAAAATGTTACAACAGCAGTTTTTTTCAGCAAAATCATTTCTTTCTTCGAATCTCATTTATAATTTTTTTTTGTTTTTAATTTAACAGTCATTTAATGAAACAGCAATGGGGCTGAGTAGGTGGTTGTTATGGCTCTAGGTCTTGGTAGAAAATCTGATTACATTGTCAAGCAACTCGTTTCTTAGTCAACTACTAAAATAGTAATGGCAAAGGAATAAAGCTGATAACTAGTGATAAACCAGTCATCTGCTACTTTGAAGACAAATCTTGACTGCAGAGAAATACTATTTCGTTCAAAAGAAAAAAATTAAGTAATAATATATTTGACACATAGTTGAGAAGATAATGTTCTTAACCAACAAAAGAAAAAGAATAAACATGTATAAGTTACTTTCCTTAATACAGTTCTAAATTTATTTATTTTTATAAAAAAAAAAAAAAAACGATAGTGGGAAAAGCTTTAATCAAGCAGAAGCTACTATTGTTTACAGGCAAATTTACTAGCAGGAAAATTAAACTTTGGCTTAGTAATGAGGATCAGATTGTAGGACTGGTATAAAATGAGTCATGGACAACAAACATTGTATTAGAGGATTTTCCTTCTGTTATCTCAAAACATGTTTGAAAATTTGTACTCATATTATCATGCTAAATCTAAGACATGCCATTTTCCATATATAGATTGTGAAAGGAAAAAAGTTGCAGTCAGGTAGGCCAAATGTATTAAAAAATAAAAACTTAATGAAACCTATTTAGCCTAAGGCAGATATTAAGTTTTAAAAATGATATGGACCACACCTATTTTTTCATATACCAGATTCTATTTTTAATATACATATACCATTTTAGAGTGGATTTAAGGAACATTAACAGTCTGAATAAAAAACTAAATTGACCACTCCTTCAATTAATATACAGCTTCCTTATGAACCAAAAACATGAAGTCTATCGAACCCACCAAGGAATTTTGGTAAGAGAATACAAAAAGGTCCAACTCATAATTGTTAATGTCTGAAATTTTACTAGTTGGACCACTGTTATTCCAAATTGTTGTCAGCCCTCAAATTTCAGGTCAAGCAAATAGAAAAAATCTGATAGTGCATCACACAACTTTCACTTACCGCTCTAGTTTGAACGGAAATTATTGTCTGGCAAAATTGGGCTTTTACAATTAATTTTTGAAGAGTATTTTTAATTTCATTCATTCATGCAATTCATTTTCAATTTGAAAAAAACATTTTTCCTTGTTTCTCATTTATTTAATTGTCAAATTTTTTATAGTTTATATTGAACCTTTTTTTTTTTTTATTCGATGATAGTTAATTATTTGATATAAAACAAATTAAAGGTTCTTTAGAGAAAGAAATTTTGTACATAGAACATTTAAACCCTTTTAGGTGAGATCAATGAGGATAAGATCTAGCTGATATTAAAGACCATTTAATTGTACGTTGATATACTGAGTTTAATCAAAATGGTTAGAGCCGTTTTCGAAAAAATTGTGTAAAATTTATCATATACTTACAGTTACCAGATTTCAAGGAAAAAGTTGCTATAACATTCAAGTCCTATACCTATCTCAAATATTCAATTTCAGTTTTGTGTGATTTTTCGTTTTTGAGCTAGGCTGTTCACATACAAACACACATAGACCTTTTTCTGGGACTTGGTTATTTATATTTTATTATTAAATTTAATTTACATAATAAAAATTTACAACTGACATATTCAAACAAATCTGACATGTCATGAGTTGTGTAGGTGGATAACAAGTAATAATAAAAAAATTATTATCAAAATTAGAGACAAAACAAACTCAAGAAATGTTTTTAATGATTTATTTCATGGCTAATAATACTGTAATACATAAAATAAACATCTCAGCTGATTCTACTCTGTATCCAATCTTTCTGAAAACTGCGCATCGACAACCCTTAAACGTGTGCCAGTAGCAGAAAGGGCATACATAAATATATTGTTCCCTTTTCATAAATTGTAATAAAAGAATCATAATAAAAAAATAATTATATGTACAGATCTATTACAAATAATAATAAAAAAAATATAATAGTCTAATAGCAACAAGAGTAACAAGAAGCTGAATAGTAGATACTTGCATAAATAGCTTATTTGTATAAAGATTAGTGTATCAATAACATTTAGGCTAAGAAAATAATTTTATAATAATAGAAATGATAATTTAAAAAAAAAATTAAATCAAGTGAAAACTGCAAGTTCATTATGAAGCCATTCTTATTTATGTTGACCACTTCCATTCAAGAGCTCAAGATGTAATGTTGATTATTTATGATTAAGAATGAAATACTTCAATATAAATAACAACAATATTTAGTTGTTTTTATTTAATAATGATGGTCTTTATCTTCAATCATTGAGAAACATTTTTAGGAGATTACATTATGGGGCTTCATTTTTGGAAGCCATTCATTTTTGGAAATTTACATCATGGGGATTAGGAAACATAAAACAATTCTGAATGGAGATAAAATGATAAAATAATAATAGTACAATCTTAAAACATCTCTGTTCATGACTAATTTCTTTCCTTACTGATTTTAATCTTGATAAGCAAAAGTGTTGTAGTCAACAGAGCTAAATCATGAATATAATCCTTTTTTAAACATCAAATATACAATACATTAATTCAAATTCAAGAATTAAATTAAACAAACAAAAATAAAACTGAAGCTAACATTTGATGACAAAGCATTAAAATCTTGAACAATCGTTACAAAGTGGTCAAATATTGATCAGATTCAGTTTTAAAAACTCTTCAGAATTTGCTAATAAGACCAACATCAATTTATTATAACTGCACAGAATCATGAGCAGATACTGATTCTTAAAGAGAGAATGAACTATTAACCCTGTTATTTCTCCAAATATTTTGAAGCATTAATAGATTTATTTTACCAAGATGTGGAAATATAAAATACAACAGTTTATATCTGATGTAAGAAAAGAGGGTGCCTCATGGAAGGCGATAGAAAAAATTCCAAAAAATATAGATTTTGAATCAGTAGAATTAAATTCTTTTTGTTACTTATCTTACTAAAAGTTGTGGTTACCAAAATTGAATGGTTATGATATTTTCAAAAAGGTTAAAAGTGTGTCACCAGTATCAGTTTTAATGAAGCACAACAAAATATATTTAATATAATTCATCACTTAAATGTATGGTGAAATTATTTTGTAAGAATTCTTAAAACATACTTTTTGTCATTGTTTTTTGTTTCAACCATAGAATTTTGGCAACCCCAAAAACACGACATTTAAGTTGGTCATGAATTTTATGTACAAATAATCCACAGAATAACATTATATACAAATTTTTTTGAATTTATTTTGATAACATTTTTCCATTTTTACAATTCAGCCTCATTTGCTAAATGTAACATATCTAAAATATTTGAACTCGACTTGTTTGAAAAATCTCATATTTCATTTTAAATTATTAACATAACATATTTTTATTGTTTGTTTCTAATGAAAAACTCATTAAATGAAGAAAACTCACAGAATTCAATTGCATAAGCGATCGGGTAAAATTTAACAAATAACAAATTTTTATTATGAGAGGCATTAAAATCAAGTTTAATTTATTTCCAACTACATTTATCACATTTTCAAATAGTGCTACTGGAGTTATTCTCCAATCCCATAATTTTCAAATTCCAACATGCTAAAATCTTCTTACAATTACATACATTACACAGCACAAAAGCTTACCTCTAAATTATTGTTGCATGTTACCAGCTCTTATCATAGGATATGTAACTTAGAATATTTATGACCAGTAACAAAGAAATATGATTAAAAAAATTATCAGTTACATGTTTGTACAATTATATGGGAAATGTAATAATTAAAGAAAAAAAAATTGAGAAGAAATAACATTTATTTTAAAATATACTGGAAATAAATCAACTGATTATTTTATTATACTGGTCATAATTAAGTGCATTTACTGCACAAGGAAAAACTTCAACTGGGCAGTGTCAATTTTTTTAATTTTAACTATTTTTTTAAAATTACTAATATTAAAATTCACAAAAAATTAAAAGAACAAAATAAAATTATCTAAAATGTCTCATTAATTAACGAATATAGTTTGCTCCATATCTAAAAAAATTATTACTATATAACAATCTATACATGGTAAATACAGCATTATAGTCTAAATGAGACATCTTCATAGTCAGAAACTATACACACTGACTAGAATATATCAAATTATCATTTTTAAAAATCTGTTAGAGAATGATCTAAGAACTTAAATCAGTATTAAAAGTGTACACAAGCGAGGATTTCTAAGTGTCTACGTGTGAGACAAGAGGAATACTTCAACAAACAATGGCTTCTGAAATTGGATTTTCTGTTATGTTGATTTGCCAATGGTTGTTCTGTAACCCTGGAACACTCTGTGAGCTTCTTACACTGTCAATAGATGTTGACATTTTCATCATATATCCTGAGGAAACAAAAGATTTATAAATATACATATTGGTAAAGATAAATATCTATAAGACTAAATGTAATCAATATATGTACATAAGAAAACAACAGTTGAATTATTAAAAAGTAATATGAATCTACTTAAATATAGGTTAAAGTTACAAACTATTAACCTGCCATTACTTTTGACACTACATTTCATATATACCTGTTTGATAAAAACCAATGTACCATGCAAATAAAACCAAATAACCACACAAATTGTAATTTCTAGAAAATAAATTCAATATAGAATAAAACGTAAGTTTCAAAACATCCACAAAGAGACAAGACCGAATGTAATCAGTCATAGTTAATTATTGTACAATCTTAATTTTTGTTTCCTAGAACAAATACTATGACAATAGTGCCCTAAAACTAAATCCTCCAAGAAAAATAGCCTCAGCATCCCAAATTTGACCTTAATGCTTTGTAGATATTAATTATACTAGACAGTTCCCAAATGCACAAGAAAACCTGACAGTTATACCAGTATATCAGAGACATGAACTGACAGTTATATGATGGAGTTACAAGTTGTTTGTATAAGTATTAGATTTGCTAAAAAACAGTGAGTCCAAATGGTAGGTAATCAAAGTTACACAGCATTGAGCATGGTAAATACTCGGATGGATGACCATCCACTGGCAAAAATCATGCTTCCCATAAAAACAATAAATAAAATTATGTGAAAATAGTAGAATCATTTTCAAATAAGAGACTATAATTAATAAGGAAGAACATAGTGAAAATAAATATTCAAAAACCCAAATCAATTCATACTTGAATTATGTATGATTCTGGGGGTTTCCATAGTTGTTCATCATGGTGAATTTTCTTAATAAAATTGTTTTCTTAAAAAGCAGTGAACACTATCGCTGCTTGGATGTCGGTGTAAATTGTAATTTTTTCCCCTTCAGCTCATCACTAAACAATGCAGAGACATAATGATAGATGGATACCACTTCAAATTGAAATACAGATTCTTGATGTGGGTCCGGCACTAAATAAATTTCAATTCACCTAGGCTGGATTCGAACTGGTGCCACTAAACTCAAGAATGATTAAGGATGGAATACTTTAACAGAATCGGCCTCACCCATTTTGGGTATTTTTTTTTTTATTGGATAATCCCCTAACGACCATATCTGGGCGGAGGAGAGGATGGTTTTTCTAGAGGTACAACCAAACCTATTCAAACCAGAGTGGGAGGGTCGAATTTCATTCTGTGGGTCCACCACAAAATAAAAGTCAACTTCTCCCAGGATGAATTCGAACCGGCATCGCTAGGCACGAGGATGATAAAACAGGCAATGCTCCAACACATTTGTCAATGACGACCTCACCCATTTTTTTTTTCCTCCCCTTCCTAGCCTTTAAGGATATACGGGGTTCTCCCAGGCCAGGGAGTGTGGGGGGGGGGATTTAAAATAACTATTTTTCATCGTTGTCTCATATGTCAGATTGCCGGGCAATGGTGGTGCATTCGGCCACCCATTTTTGATCTATGCTGCTTAGTTGTGTCAATATTAACACAATACTTTGATTCAAGATGTTTCTGAGTTTGAATATCAGATTGCGTGGTAAGGTATATTCAGATTTTAAGGTATATGCTTCTACTTTAAGGTGCAATGGTGAAATGCCAAGCATTACTTCCATAGCAGCTGTTGGAATAAACAGGCTACTTTTTGTAGCTTCTTCATTATAATCCTGATAGTAACAACTTTTGGTTTATGCCACTAAAGTAAAGCTGAGTACAGTACCACAGATCAAATGGTCATGACAATATTTGGTTTAAGTCCCCAATTTTTACCTACAGCTCTTTAGCATGCCAGTAGTTCTATGAATCATGTATATGTATATGTATAGTAGGCTCTTGTATGTTCTTCATAAATGATTTTTAGTCTCCAATTAGAATATAATTCAATTAGACCTTACTACATAATTTTGCTTATCATTGTTTTGTATAAATATATGTTTTTAAAAAGAATTAGAAGCTGAACTATTTAATCAACTGCTTAAACTTAGATATTTACTTTTTATGATTTATACTCTTTAGATAGAGAATGGAATGTTCCACGTTTATTTAAAGCCACATTTTTCTTCAAACACTTCATTTTTCCTTTAAAAAAATATAATTACAGCGAAAATCAAGAAGAAGGTAGTTACCTAATATTTATTTATTTTGAAAAGGTAAAACTAAATACCCTTTTTTCATCTCACTGCTAGTGCTTGCTTCGGCCCTACTTGCCAAATAAATGGACTTGTTATAGGGATTCTAGCATATAATGATTTTTTTGGACCTATTGAAGGAGCAATTCGAAACTTGAGATCCGCACAACACATAGGGCCTTGTTTCTACATGGATTCCTTAATTTGAAATTGTTATAAAATCTTCACCACTAAACTGAATTAACAGAGCTCTCACCCTGTTGCCTAGCTGATCATTCAATGCACTCACTTGCTTACTATTTTTGGCTATTACTATTATTTACTATGTTTGGCATTCAACAAGAGTTAATTTTATATTTATGTATATTTCTTTGGATATTATAATGTATATGATACTGTGGCAACACTGTTGTTACCTCCATGTGTGATATAGTTGATTTTAGATGTGAAGCCAGTCAGTCACATGTATAAGTTACAGGTTAATAAATGTGTTCACAATAATCGGTCTTATTATTTATAGCCAACATAAAACATGGAGCAGTCGAAAAATAGTTAAAGTACAATGTTTGATCTGTGATTAGTTAACAAGAGTATATTTGCGATGGATTTTAATAAGCCTAAATCTTTCAATGGAAAATGTGGCAAGTAACTTCAAGTGCTTCAAGGAAGGAGTCAAGATAAATGGTTAATAAATGTGTTCACAATAATCGGTCTTATTATTTGTAGCCAACATAAAATAATATTTAATTATGTTTACTTATCCAAGGAAAATATCTGAATCGCTTTTGAGTTGGCAGAGGATTGTTTATCTATTTATTAATGTATTAATATAAATCAAATAACTTTTAATCGACAATAATGTTTACAAATATATGTTTTCTCTTTCTATATCATTTTTTTTTCTAATATTTTATAACTAGTTAATTTCATTTAACCAACACCAAACCAAAGAGAAAAATATGTACACCAACACTATAGTAGGAGAGAAATAACTCACTAAGTTTTAATTAGAGTGCTACCAATGGGTAGTTTCTCAACATGTGTTTCATTTCATTATATCCATGTGAGAATTTACCAGATGTATTTTTTTTTATACAGTTGTAAATATCATATAAATAAAAAAATAAAAAAGTTTTAATTTTGAGAATGTCAATATGGATTCAAACCAAGGTCTGATGAAAGACTCAAACAGGTAGCAAGGAGAAAATAAAAAATTATAAACAAGAGCAGATCTTCATATTCAATTAGGATTTCATTTCTGTAACAATGAGCCTCAATTCAAGAATCACTATGTATTTGTTTTTTTTTTAGATGCTCCATCATACAACTAATTCTGACTGTTAGATAATTTTTTTTATCTATTCAACAAATTAACAACTGCATAAAATAAATATACATCTGGTAAATATGTCCAGAGAAAAACAATAGCATGAAAAGAATGGTAGAGAATCTACCCAGTAGCACTCTAATAAAGTATTTAAATTAGGACATCGTCTTCATCTTCTTTTCAGGGGAGATTATCAGAGATCGAAGAGGAAGTAAGGTTAGAAACGAGAGGATTAGGATGGTTCTGAAATTTACTGTGGAAAAATTGGAATCTCAATAGGGCCAAGTCGGAAATATACGGAACATTAAGTTCGTTATGGATGATTTTATTTTTGAAAAAGTAAGGAGCATTTTATTGAGGATTTTATGAAGGGTTTTAGATTGTAAGGATTAAATACAAGAGGAATTAGATGGCTTAGTGGAGTCCCAAAGCTCAACTCTATATGTCCAAATAGGCCTTATTATAGTCATGTATATGAATCTTTCTTTGTTTATAGGGAGTTAAGAGTGTTTGTCTAGTAAGTACTGAAGTATTCGGAAACATTGAACGGTTTCTTGTCTTTTTAATCTGGTATGAGGATTTGAAGTTAGATGTTTGTCCGGGTGCAGTCCTAGGTATCAGATTTGTTCAACAGCGATAGGTGGAATATTATATAAGGGTACTGTAGGACAGAAAGTCATAAGTTTACGATGATGGGTAAAGGTAATTTGGTGGGGTTTATTGGAATTTAATTTGATTCGCCAGCTTTGTGATTTGTGATTGATGAGTTTGGGATGCAATTGATGGGTCGTTATTAACTGATAGGACACATGTGCCATCCGACATGGTGGATTGAACTAGAATATCTGGATGTGGATTAAAGGTTTGAAGAGGTGATGAGCAAATATTTGAGTTTTTTCATCATCAGATCTAATCCAGGTTTAGTAATGAAAGGATGGTTAAAATCTTTGAATTTTATAAGCTTCTTGGTGATCAACCATAATGATTTGTCAGTAGTTGCAAGATTTCAGTTAATTTAATTAATTTTTTATTTATTAAGTAAATCTAAAAACCAAAATAATTAATTGATTATTTGGTTAATTTTCAATTTTACAAAGCAATATATTTCATTTTTCTGTTACAAAAAATTTTTTCTTTTAAATTCTTTTATATATATATATATATATATATATATATATATTGTTATGATTTTTATTTATCAAACATTCAAATTAAAAAATAATACATTGGAGTTAAAAATATTGTGGAGGGAACGACCAAACTCCCATTTTCAGAATACACCTTCTGTTTGTTACGGAGCTCTCTCAAGAAAACATGTCCACAGGAGTCAGGCCAGTATAAACTTATATAAAGACCAGGTTTAAGTTAAGTATCAGTATCAGTACCAAGTTTAAGCAGTGTAATCCACGCGAGTGTCAGATTCGCTGTCGAGACTGATATTTCACAGTCCACCCTCTCCAATCAGGATTTCATCCTCG